CTCCAGTGACTTCAGCGTTGCTAGGTCCATTGATAATTGCTGGTCCTCATCCCCTGACTTAGCAGTAGCCCTCAACAGTCTTTGAAACCTTTCTGGCCTCGGCTTCTAGGATCCATCCCCTCCTGCTGTCACTGTCTCCTTTGCTGTGCCTTCTTCAGCTGCCTGAATCCAAAGTGTGACTTCCGTCCTGCTGGAGCTTGGACCAGGGACCTCAGAGTGCACTGAGCCGCGGCCATGCGGTGCGGAGACTCCCACTTACTCTTGGGATGTTGAGACCGATCAAGGTGTGGGGTTGCCTCCCTGGGCTTGCGGGGAGAGGCCACGTTTCACTGTGAACATTGTACCAGGTTTGGTTTTTGTCACTGCTGATAGCTCTAGAAGCTAGGGATCACCAAGAGACTAGAAGAAAACAGAGGACAAGTTTGGGAAGTCCACAGAGCATTTTATTCCACAGGAAGAAAAGTGACGACTCTGAGAACCAGACTCCAGAGTCTTAACACACTGGTGACTGTAATAGTGCTTACATAATAGAGAATCAGGTATTTTATTTTTAGAATTTTATCAAGCAGCTACTATGGTATTTTGAGGCACAGATGATACTTACAAACAAAAGTGGCCCTGGAGCCTTTGGAACACTGAGGTGAGTCCCCACCAAGCAGTGAGACACTCTACGGTTAGGGGAGGGGCCGCTTGTGTGTTTCCCACTGTAGTGACCAGGCCCAGGGCCTGGCTCGCCTTTCAGTGAGCACAGAGAAGCAGCGACAGCCAGGCAGCGACACGGGTCAGCCAACTGTGCTGGGTCAAAGGACTGGGTGGCTTTGGAGAGCTCCTTATCCAATTTCCCCTTATTCCATTTATTTTACTTTCCTCAGAGATGAACTGTGTGTTTGAAGCAGAAAGGAAAGCGGTAGAAATGATCATAACAAAGGCTGAGACATCACTGTCTGAATAGCAACTTACAAAGAAACGGGCATTCAAGGAGCCAGGGGCAGGGCCTGCTTCCTCCAAAGTTTTGGATGTTTTCCTGGTGAGAACCAGGAGGGGATGTCAAATGCCCCTGAAACCTTCTGGCCATGCCTGGCCCAGGGCTGCAGAGCAGGGAGAGCTGAGAATTGGAGCAGCCAGCAGTGACCCTTCCACCTCCCACCTAGCCCCACCCTAGCTGGTCTTTGGATTCCATTTTAACATCTGCCTCTCCTAAGGTGCAAATGTCAAAGTGCTTGGTTGTGCAATCACAGGAGATGGACAGCTATTTAAAGAGCTGATTAAAATTAGAAAGGAGCCCAAGGAGGGCATCTAAACACTTCTCTGGATTCTTCCTAAAGCACCAGCCCACAGGGCAGCCCACAACTAAGCTTCCTGCAGTTAGATCTGAGAATCCCCCGAGCTGCTGTGGCCCAAAGCAGATCCTTTAGTAATACTAAACGCCTTAATCTCATCGAGAAATTTCAAGTGACTTTGTTCCAGAAGGCGACAGAAAGCTCGCTGACAAATACAATCAACCCTTCCGAGAGTCTCATCTTTTAAGAGATCATGATCTCAGGCAGTGGGTTACTGATGACAAAAACCACAAGCCAAACTCGTGGGGGTGCAAGGGAGGCTGAGGAGGAAGCTGGGGAGGAGCTGCCACTTGCCTGCCTTCTGCTGTGATCTCGAGCAGTGCGTGAGTGCTGATACAATCATGACTACCCCCCAGCAAGACACAAACAAACTAAAACCCACCCAATGCTGCAAAAGCCAAGTTTCTATTCTGCAATCCACTCACTTGGAGTTCGGTGAAGGCTCTCCAAGCCTCAGTTTAAGAAAGCTGGTCCTTGAACACTAGGTAGCTAAAGCTCCCTTCCTTCCTCTCTGCATGTGTGCATGTGGGCACACACACACACACAGACACACACAGACACACACACACACACAGAGGGGAAGTGGGAGAGCAACGGGGGAAAGGAGATTAGCTTCATTTGTGTCTTGGAAGGATTTGGGTCATGAGTTATAAACACCAAAACCTTCCACGCATCCACTGAGTCATCCCAGACTCAGCTACATGTGACAAAGTTGTAGAAATTGATTAGCTTTATTAAAATAAAAATTTAAAAATCACAAGGTGAGTCATTCACTCTAAAGACAGGCCCCCTTTCCCCTCTCCCTATTGGCTTAATCCTTACAGAAAAGAGAAACACCGAAAACAAGACCCAGGGCGCTCACACCAGGCCTTGCTCCCAGCCGGAATTTTAAGCCAAGGATAAGGGATGCTTTCGTCAAATCTGGGTTCCATGAAAAGCTTACAAATACAGCTTTTGAATACTCCTATTTCATTCCCTTCTCTGGAACTCTCCCCATCCTTTCTCATCTTGGGGTTACCATTCCTGTGTCCCCTCGGGCTGTGGAGCTGCGATGCCTGCATGTGGCTTTATTAAAAAGAAAAGAGTCCCAGGGCTTTGTTCTTGGTGCCCAGGAAGGAGAGCACACTTATGTGGATTTCTGGTTTGTTGCAACAGTTCAATGGGATTTTTCTTCTCCTTCTCAATCAACAGAGCTTACCCATGTTTCAAACCTCTCTGGTAATAACCTGAGAAAACTGAGAATGCTGATTTGCACGTGTGTAGTAACAGAACGCAGGCTGCCCGCCAAGTCTGGTTAAGACTAGTTAGGAAAAAGCCAAACAGGTAACTTACATCATTTGTGAGAATCTAAGCACTCTTTGTAAAATGGGGGTGAGAAATTAAAGGTGGGCTCCCAAGCCCCTCTCCTAGATCCTTCGGAAGGGCCAGCGCCAGTCCTGGGGGCCACCGCTCACGGCCCAACTGGACAGCCACGATGTTAAAGGCGTCCCTCCTCAGGGACACAGCTCTCACCTCAACCCACTTTCCTGGGAATACTTTAGTCTCCAAAACTAAGACACAACATTCTTTAACTTTTAAGAATGACTTTCGATAGACAGTATCCTGAATTAGACATGTAGCATTAGTGCAATCGAAGATCCAATATAATTTTATATTACTTTACAGTTAACAAACCTTTACACACAGCACAGGCCCTGTTCAGAAATGTTCCTATATATTTACAAACACACAGTTGTACATATATACATGTTAACAAAATACAGGGCAATCTAAAAATTAGATTCATCTCAGTACGTTTTTAAATGTTATTTAACCAATATCTTTAAAATTACTTCCCACAATCTAAAATAACTCCCTGCCTCACAAATTAATATGATTTCCATTTGTATTTTTCCTCATGAGCATGACTTTCCCTCATTCCTTGACAACTCCCCTAGAGCCGACTCTGGCTCCGCCTCTAACGTAATGCGCTCGGCCTCTTTGCTCCGGGGTCTGGCCTTGGCGGGAGCGCACGTCTGGGCAGCAGGGGCTTCAGGAGTCCAGCTCCAGCTGCTCTCGGTTTTCGCTGAGTCTCAACATAAGCTGCTGTTCATAGTAGAGGCTCTTTGCGTAGTTTATTTCTTGTGACAACTTGACAGCGAGGACCTCAGATTTCACGTGGACCTAAAGAGGAGAACAGGGTGAGTCACCTGCCCCCAGGGTGGGGAGACCCAGGAATCAGATCCACCCAGGCGGTGGCTCCCAGCCCAGCTGCGTCTCAGGGCGGGATGAGTGCATGTTAAAGATACAGAGATGCTGAGGCCTGCTCCTAGTTCACCCGTACTCACAAGTCTTGGGTGGGGTCCTGCAATCTGTCTTTTCAAACATTCCCCAGGACTGTGCAGTCAACCCATACTCACCTGACATTTGGGACACCACAGAACTGATCTGCAGAGGGAGACCAACAGCAAGAATGTGGGATTCACATCTAAGGTCTGGTGACGGCCGATGAAGGAAGAATAATCAGCCAACAAAAGCCTGTAGGTCTTTATTACCGCAAACATCTCCTTGCCTATCTGCTTAGAAAGGGGCAGAGGTATAGTGGCTGAGGCTGCCCACCTGCTACAGTGAAGGGATCTGGAGAAACACTCACACTTTGGGGTACTCGCTCTCTTCGTCAGCCAGCTCTAACTGAAGCCAGTGGCCCCGGGGGAGCCTTCCTCAAGCCCAAGTGCATTCCTGAGCAAGGCGGGGTGAAGGACTCCAGAGGAGAGAGGCCCAATGAGGCGAAGCTATTTCTGATCCGCGGAGAGAGCGGAGGTGGGCAGGCCCTTTTGATTAATGTGTAATTCTTGAATTTGAGTGTCAAAATCCTGGCATCCCAGGTGAGAATGAGCAGGACTAACACCTGGGTGCCATGACAATCCGCCAGGGCAGACTGGCCACAGACAGCGCAACAAGGGGCTCTGCAGCTGGTGTCAAGCTACTTGGATTTGAACCCCGGCTCCTTGAGGTTGGCTGTGTAGCCTTTTTTTTTTTTGAGACGAAGTCTTGCTCTGTTGCCCAGGCTGGAGTGTAGTGGCGCGATCTCGGCTCACTGCAACCTCTGCCTCCTGGGTTCAAGCAATTCTCTGCCTCAGCCTCCCGAGTAGCTGGGCCTACAGGCGCCCACCACCACGCCTGGCTAATTTTTGTGTTTTTAGTAGAGATGGGGTTTCACCATGTTGGTCAGGCTGGTCTCGAACTCCCGACCTCAGGTGATCCATCTGCCTCGGCCTCTCAAAGTGCTGTGATTACAGGTGTGAGCCACTGCGCCCCGCTGCCTACGTAGCCTCGAATGAATAACCTGCCCTCACCAACAGTGAAGTGGGGAAGACAGTAACACAGTTCTCAGACAACCCACAAGACACCAGCCCCCCAGGAACATCAGTGACTCACAGGAGCTTTATTACTTAAAAGCTTTGTCACAACAATATCTGGTCCCCTTTGGAGGCAAAGTATAATTTTTATTTATAAGTACTTATTGTGCATGCTATATCCTACTTCTGTGCGCAGAATAAACGGTCCTGTTTCCAGCGTTAAGGAGAAACAATGAAGAACCCAGTGGGAGCTCCAGCGTTTTCTTCGATTCAGTGCACCGAAGAATCCCAATTGAGGAGCAGAAAAACCCTGTGTTGCGTTCGCTGTTCCTTACCACCCATGAGCCTAAGTATCGCTCCCCTCACTACATCGATGGGTAACTGAGGCACAAACATTGTGAGGCAGTAATGTTCCCAGGGTCATCCATGGGCCAGCTGGGAGGGCAGCATCATCGAGGGGACATAACCTGGGCCCCTCCCACGTTCAGGACTGAGAGGCAGCACTCCCAGGAGGGCCCGGCCTGAGCGCCTGCTGAAGAGGGGGAAGCAGGGTCGACGCACGGGCCCTCAGGAGCCTGAGAACAGGCCCGCACACTCACCATCGGCTTCTGGTGGGAAGGGCCTGGGATGGACACGCCACTGCTCGTGCTCACGGCCTTCTTGGTCACCTGCACATACACTTTCCCATGGTCTTTGGAGACAAGGCAGTGGTAGAGGTCATCGTATTTGACTTCTAGGAAAATGGCTTCTCGGTCCACGTAGTCTCCACTTTTCAGGAAGTAAACCGCTTTGGAGGAGATGAGCACGCAGTAGCTGTCAATGTTCTCCACGGCGATGAAGCTGCAAAGCGAGACGGGAACACAGGAGTGACACCTGTGCTTCGCCCAGCGTCAGCGGAGGCCCACTGCGGGCTCTGTAGCTCCGGGGCCTGAGTGCGAATCCAGACCCCCTCGCTCACTACACCTCAGGCAGGTGGCTTCATCACACTGAGCTTCAGCTTCCTCTTTTGTAAATTAGGAACAAAAGCGAGCTTGGCCTCAGGGGGCTGTTGTGAGGTCCACGGCCATGGCACCCATCACCCCTCCACAGGACGCTCGAGAAATGGCAGACCACCAACCATTTCAACAATAGAAATAATTTTACATCCTGAAACTGTATCTTGTAGGGTGTTTGCATGTTTGGATAGCTTAAAGCTTACAGAAAACTGTCACAATGCTCTATTGGACATGATAGAAAACATGATGCCTTTCAATGTGAAACTGAAGGAGAGCTGGAGCTGTTCACTGTCTGGCAGAGGGGAGGCAAACGCGAAGGGGCGAGAGGGCGTGGCTGGGGGTGATGAAGGCTGAAGGGAAAACGCAGCATTAAACAGGTTCAGCAGGCCGGGCGCGGTGGCTCACGCCTGTAATCCCAGCACTTTGGGAGGCCAAGGCGGGCGGATCATGAGGTCAAGAGATTGAGACCATCCTGGCCAACATGGTGAAACCCCGTCTCTACTAAAAATACAAAAATTAGCTGGGCGTGGTGGCGTGTGCCTGTAATCCCAGCTACTCGGGAGGCTAAGGCAGGAGAATTGCCTGAACCCGGAGGCAGAGGTTGAAGTGAGCCGAGATCGCGCCACTGCACTCCAGTCTGGTGCCTGGTGACAGATCGAGACTCTGTCTCAAAAAAACAAAAACCAAAACCAGGTTCAGCAAATGGCACACCACGAAGAGATGGCCTGGCGTTCAAGTACTCGCATGCCTGCGTCTGCTTCCTCCCTCCCAAAGCTCAGCACACGTCTGGGGACAGGACGCTCCCGTCCACTTCAGGTTCCAAAAACTCTGAGTCAGACAACACTTTCTTGGGTGAAGCTATCATCTTTGTTTTTGAAACTCTGAGTTGTTACTTCAGGAGCATTAGAGCCACTCTGAAAAAACCCAGTTCCTCTATCATGGAGCTCACATAATTGAAGTAGAAATTTATGCATGTCAAACCTCTCTGGCCACTGAATGGAGACCAGTGAACCTTGGGAACAGTGTGACAGCTCCCTGGGCCTGGCTGCCTCCCCTGCATCTTGTGACAGCCCTTCACAATGGGGCTGCAGTGTCCAGGGACAGTGGAAAAGGATGGCAGGAATACTAAAGGCTGACGACAGAGTGGCGGTCGAGCTCCCGCTGCCAAATGGAACTGCTCAGAGCCCAGCACCACCTGGAAGTGTCGTGAAACCTGGGTCCAGAGCTGCACTGTTCCCGGGCCCCCTGAAGCGGACAGAAGCCCGGGGGGTTGCCTGCCTGTCGCGGGTAACAGGCTGCTGGGCCCCCGCTCACTTGGGGTCCCTGAGGACGCACACCTGCTCTCTCAACTTCTCTAAAGCCCGTCCCCTCCCCGCAAGGATGACAGGTTCCAACCTCTCTGTGAAGCCGCCCCCACATACTCCAGCCCCTTCTCCACTTTTGAACATTTAATTGCGATGCCCCCAAATCACAGCCAAGCACCAACTCGTTCTTTCCACGTGTCCTGGATAAGATTCTGCTCTCTGCCTACGAGGTGAGCCCCGTAAGTGGGGTCCGTATCTCACAGGCCCGTGTCTCCCGGAGCACCCCTCGGAGTTGGCCGCCCCATCAGCACTCAGTAAGTATCGGCCTTGTTCCAGTGCCATTTTAATTACAGACACCTGTGACAAAAACTGGGGTTTATTGTTCTATTCTAACTGGTTGGCAATGCCAAGAATGTAGACTTGTAAAGTCTCAATGCCAGAATTAGAAAGACCCGCAGCCGTCAGCGTTCAGGCCACTCGGCACACACGGTCTCACATCTCGTGCTCTGACAGCATTGAGCACTGAACAGAGTTAAAACAGGCATCGTCACTGAACAGAGTTAGATGGAATCTGAAATAGCTGGTCTGGGGAAGAAGGGAGGGCACGGGGACAGACAGAAAGACAGACTTAGAGGGATAAAGATGATCCTGACACAGAGAAGAGGCGACAGGGTGCCAGCCAGAACTGGCAGGGACCTGAGCTGAGACCCCGGAGCAGCCTACACTCCTGAGCACTGGGGGGCCTGGGGTACAGCCCCTGAGGCCATGATGGGCTCTCCAAGGAGACTCCAAAGTTGGTCACCATGATTGGGGTGACAGCAGGAATGTGTATGAAAAATCCAACTGAGATTTGAGGTCCTTTCCTCTAGGTGAGCATAGCGCACACGCTTCCACCCCACTGCCCAGCCCTCAGCCCCCAGCACCCACTGGGCACTCGCCATAGCCAACATTTGCATGTCAGCCAAGGGCTCTCCCTCTGGGCAGCTTGCTCTCACACCCAGGCCAGAGTGGCCAACGCGACCGGTGTGCTTTCCATCCCAGAAAACTTCTGCAGGCTTCAACACAGACTCTTCCAAGATGCCCCAGATTGCTACAAGTCGTCCTTCAGGCCAGAACCACTTCTGGAGGAGGGGGGCTCTGAGCCGGGATGCCCTCCGAAAGGTAGAGGGCACAGCGGGGGAAACACAGGCCGAGTGGCAGGCATGCCTGGCCTGTCGGCTGACTCTGGCTGAGTCCGCCGCCTTCTTAGGAGCTCAGATCCCTTCATCTCTCTGATGGAGATGGAAATCCCTGCCAGCTTTCTTCACAAAGTGAGAACAGAGGTCAAAGAATCCCTGGCCATACAGAAAGGTGCGTGGAGGAAGGCAGTGCTGTCAGTCCCATGGATCTTTGTCCTTTAAGTCAGGGGCCCTGTTCGTGCCCTGAAGCTGCTACTGATAATAACACATTTTGGGAAATTTGCATGAAATGTTCTAAAGTCTTTTCAAATCAAAAGCAGATCAGAGGCAAGGGTCTGGCTGAAGGAAGGAGAAGGGAGATAGTGAGTCCACAGCTGGAGCTGGGCAGTGACCCCAGGGACCAGGTAGCTACAGCTGTGTCCCCATCTTCTTCCTCCGGCTTTCCTGCACCCACAGTGGCCAGGGCTTTGGGCTGCATCATCATCGTTATTATTATTAATTTTAATTTTAAAAAAAAATAATATCTGGCAACCACATCAAATAATAATTAAATAGCTCCAGACCAGACCCCTTATCTAATGGAGCCCGATCCCAAATTTGTTACTTTGTGAGAGAAGCAGCAAAGCTCAGAGTGGTAAGTGAAGCCTGGCAAATGCAGCACGCCCCCGCCCTTCCCTGCTGCCCCGTGCACCTTCCTCTGTTCCCTTTCCCTACAGCCACAGGCCATTCCCCTCCCTCCCTGGCCTACTTCTCCCAGGTTTTCCTTTGCCTCACTTGAACTTCTGGTGCTCACACTGCTTTGCAGTCTCGACCCGGGCTCTCCTCTCTTCACTGCCCTTAGAATCAAGCTTCCCGCAAGGCCTACTTTTGATCTACAAATGAGTGACTGTTGGAAAAACCTCACAGGAAGAATGCCACCATGGTCTCAGGTGGTCCTGAGCACGCTCCTTCTGTTCTCTGATCTGTTATTAACTGAGAGGGAAGGGGAACAAAAAAGTGCAGCCAGAAACACACAGCATCCAGATAAGCTTTATCCTTCAAATCTGAGACCTAGAGAAGTCACCCAGTATTGGCTGACACATTTTAGGTTGCTGTAGATACTATAATTGATTCTATTTAAAAAATAGGATTTTTATACTATTCTTAAACCTGGGTTAACAGTTTTAACTCTTGGGGCGGAGCATGGTGGCTCTCACCTATAATCCCAGCACTTTGGGAAGCTGAGGCAGGGGGACTGCTGGAGCCCAGGAGTTCAAGACCAGCCTGGGCCACATGGTGAGACCCCATCCCTATTAAAAAAAAGAAAAAGTTCTAACTCCCCTTTAAGGAGAGAAAGAGGATACTCTGGCCTTGGGGGTCAGTGTCGGACAGTTTATTCTGAGGGAAGGGAAGGCTGTGGCACTGTCACACCCTTTTCCAAGATGACAGGTGCTAAGAGTGGGTGAAGCTGGTAAAAGCCAATGCCACCAAAGTAGACCCCACCATGAACCATGAACCACAGGGCTGAAGCAGACCCACCATAAACCACAAACCATGGGGCATTCTCAACAGCATCCACGGCAATACTGACAGCAGCTTCAAGCCTCCTCTGGGGCAGGTAACAACGTCCTCCCAAAACACACTGCAGCCTTGCCAGGGGAGCCGGCCGCCCTGGTGCCAATCGCCTCCACCTCTCACTTTGCCTGGAGTTCCCCATCCTGATGTGTAGAACCCCCTCGGTCTACTCTGCAGGGCCACTGTGATGATGTGAGCTAATCCACATGCCCCACACAGAAGAGACCCGAAGTTAATGGTGGCTATTCTGTTGAGAACAGGTGCTCAGCTATCCCAAATCCGTGGGGATGACCCCTCCTTCCCCCACACATCTCTCATCAGCAGACTGGAGAGAGAGACGTCCCTCTAATAGGCCACATGGAAAACAGGCTTATGACCAACTTCTCTCAGGGAGAAACCTGCCAAGTAACTGTTTCAGACACGCTACCTGACTTTTCTTTCT